ACTGAAGCAGGTGCAGACCGTGTTCTTGCTTGCGATCTTCATTCTGGGCAATCAATGGGCTACTTCGACATACCTATTGACCACGTCCATGGGCAGGTAGTGGAACAGATATCACTTATTGTGAATTTGTACTTGTGAAAACAGGATAAAACATGAATTTGGAGTGAAACTGGCATGGCCAAACAGCCTAACTTTTATGTTTCGCAAGTTTTTAGCAGATTTACTCTAAGTTAAATTAAAAAGTCCTATCTTGCAGATTTTTAGTTAACTAATATGCTTTCAATGCTTATGTATGCTTGCAGCCTGTCATACTTGATTACCTTGCCAGCAAGACAAAATGTACAGATGATCTGGTTGTGGTATCACCAGATGTTGGGGGGGTAGCAAGGGCAAGAGCTTTTGCCAAAAAACTCTCCGATGCACCCCTTGCTATTGTTGATAAAAGGCGTCAAGGACACAATGTAGCTGAGGTAAGTCCTGTACATTAAATCTGCTGGTGATGTTCACTCACGTTGATTAACTTTAAGGAATTAAGTAAATGTTATCCAATTTCAGTGTTAAGAATGTAGAGGCATTTTATAGTGCTGTTGAAGTGGCTATTCTTTATCTACAACATAAGTTACCTTTTCCATTAGTGAGTCATTTGGTTTATTGCATCGAAAGTTCAGCTTGAGTTATTCAGAAGTCTGACACCTTTTTACTTTTTAAATTTTTTTACATAGGTGGATGAAACCATGTAATCATCTTTGATTCTGTTGGTATCATGGACCTTTACATGGCTAATTCTTTTGGAGACATAAGCGATTAATGTGTGTTTTGGATGAAACAAGTATAACCATTGATGCTTCTCAAGTAAAATTGAAGACAATAATCTTGTTTTATGTGTTACAATATGCTTCCTAAGTCATGTATGCTCATAGGTTGCTATGAATTATATGTTTATCATAGAGGCTTTATTAAAAAAATTTATATCCTTTGTTATATTTTAAAAGTCACTTTTGTTCTTCTTCCTTCTATTGTTTTACTTCTAAGCTACTATGCATAGTATATGTATGCCGGGAGCCAGATTCCTGATTTTCTGACACTTTTCTTCTTACTTCTATCTTTAAAGTTATAATTTACCTATGTGCAATGTTTTACCTAAATTTTTTTCACTGTTTTCATATAATTACTGCTAGTTACAGCTGAAGAACCTACAATGTTAAGTCAAATTCTCTTTTGTTGCTTCTTGACCTCTTTGTTGCTTGCCTACCTTTTGATGGCTCCTGAGGTTTCTTCTTGTTTTAGGCTCATTGAAGATGGATTAAATCATGGGCAGTGTAAATTCTACTTCAGTAGTTTAGTTTGTTTATTGAGTAACTGATTTTCTGGTTGCTGGAATCAGAGATGCATTGTCAGCCTTCTTCTTAGCTGGTTTGGTTTATCAAATAAACCCTTAAGCTTTCAACCTGAATAGAAGCACTCTGCCCCTTAAGTTCTCAACCTGAATAGAAGCAGTCTGTAATGTGGATATTTAGGTTGGAGACTTTATGAACTACTATGTTAATCAAACCACATGCTTGACAGCTTCTGCATGCCCTCATCAGTTCCTTTTGAGTTATTTTACTGATTTTTAAGGTCAAATTGTTAATATCAGCAGGAATTAGGTATAAATATAGCTTCCCTTGCTGAAGTTGATCATATAATCATCAGGGACCAAATCAGAAATGTCAGGTTGTGAAGATCAGTTAATTGGAGAACTAGAACCAATAATCTGTCAATAACATCTGTTTAGTTTTTGACCTCCAGTTCGAACATCTCCACTAGATGAGCTCCAGCTCTTTGTCCTTCTCTCTGCATGTGGTTCAATCTTACTTTTCACTTATGTTGCTCAATGGTTGCATTTCAACCAACTAATTACAGAGTATCTAATGTTCGAGATAGGAAGGATCTTCTGGATTTACTGTTATTTTATTTCCTTTGTTCATTGTAGTTGGTGCATGGATATGCCTCTTCTTGCTTCTTGTCCAATTTTTCGTCATCAGACGTTGCCTTTTACTTAAAAAGAAAATTTAACACAATCCTTTCTCTCTCTGCAATCCTCGATACTCTGAAATTTTAGATACAATGCTGGCTCATTCTTGATTTATTCCCACTGTAGATTTATCTTCATAATTCTGCATTACTTTTCCATATGATAGATTTTTCATTCGCATTTTAGTGTTATCAGTGGCTACTTCATCTTCCAATGACTTCCAACTGAAAAGCTTGCACAATTGCATGGATGTATCAATTCCCCAGGTGTTGAATTTGATCGGTGATGTAAAGGGAAAAGTAGCAGTTATGGTGGATGACATGATAGATACTGCTGGTAAGCATTCCTGGATTCATGCTCCTGATTTATTACTTATGCCTCATTTTGTTAACAAATGGAAATATAAAAAATATCCATGGCATCAAAGGCAAATCCAACTATTTGAGTTTAAGTTGAATCCCCGTCCCCATCTCCCAGCTTCTTTTTGTACATGGGACGGGCATGCCTGGTGTCTCTAAAGTATAAGGGGGGCTGGAAGAAGTGAAGCGCTCTGTGTTTTGTGTATTTTAATTCTCGGGAAATCTGCCATAAACTGGTTTGCCTTTATCTGTGTCTGCTATTCTAGGTACTAATAGTTATCTATACATGATTGGGCTTCCAATATGCTTTACTTCTACTTTGCTTTTTGTCATCTTGGGCTAGTTGTGATGTTGCCCGCCTGTGATTGATTCAGCTGATTTATGCCATTTATGGAAGTCAATGCCTTTCTTTGATCTTGTTTTGTTGCTATGCCAAAACGTACTGATATAGTGACATGCTACATGCTAGACTTTCTTTTTTACCTCTCTCTTGTGCTTTATTTCGTTGTTAGAATAACTTGTTTATGAAGATAACATATGTAATTTTTGTCACCTTGTACTGGTGGTTGATTACTCAGCCCATTGGTCTTTTGTCCAAGCAAATCTTAGAAACCACACCTGTTTCCTTGATGGAAATTTTAGACCAATCCATGTATCCTCTCACTGAATTTTGATCCTTCCGGGAGCAAATGGAGTGACTATCATCTTTGTTTATAATAAGTTTGGGTCACTACCTATTTATTGTAGTCTTATGTTTTAGTGGTTGTATAACATGTTAAAATTCCAATTTGCTGCTGACTTCCAGGCACCATTGCAAAAGGTGCAGCACTATTACATCAAGAGGGAGCTAGGGAAGTTTATGCATGCTGCACCCATGCTGTTTTCAGGTACTACATCTCCAGTGCATAATGCTCCATTACTTACATATGATAAAGCTGCTCCAATTGAAAGTGGTTCTCAATAAGCTTAATATCAAGCTGAAGATAAAATCTTAATAATCTTGTTTCCTCTTAAAAATTCATTTCCTCAATAACACCACATAGGGCTAAAAATAATAATAGAATTTTAATAAATTCTGATTTTACTCTTTCATGTGGTAGTTGACCACATCTATGAAGTTGGCTGGATTGAGTTTTCATGACTTCAACTTTTGAATAGCACATTAGTGGTAGAGCCATTTTTGTCTTGAATTTTTTTTTCTCCAAGTAGTTGCTAGCCTCAGAAACACATCTGAAGATGGTAATTGCATATGACTCGTGGGTTTTTGGCACAAAAATGTTTATGTTCTGGAGTATTCTGGATATTGTTGTGGAAAAGTTCTGAGGCAGATCTGTATTAGAACCTTGTGTGCAAGACCAATAGCATATGATATTCTTTTCAGTTCCCATTTACTGTTTCCTTCTCCAATGAACTTTTCTTTGGACTTGTACTTAGTAGTGAGCGGGGTAATATTATTTAGCATTCACACTATGATCTGCAATTAGCATGGTTCCTCACGTTTATCTGGGTTCTGCTAAAGTATTTTGTCTATCTGGTCTTTTTCAGTCCTCCTGCAATAGAAAGGTTGTCAAATGGATTGTTCCAAGAGGTGATCGTAACAAACACCATCCCTTTAGCAGAGCAGAACTATTTTCCCCAGCTTACAGTTCTATCTGTTGCAAACCTTTTGGGTGAGACCATTTGGCGCGTTCATGATGATTGTTCTGTGAGTATTACTTCAACCAAATATATGTTTGCTTCATAACTTTATATTTGTGCCCTAGCAGATGAGGATTTACCTCCTCTTTTTCCTTTGATTATAACACATTCTGCTTGGTGAAATACGTTTAAACAAGGATCAGAGGAGCTTAAAGTTAATGAAATTTGCTTTTTATCAAAAAAAAGGATCAGAGGAACTTAGAGTTTTGTTTCTCCCTTGGTATAGTTTAGTTGGCCCATGACACCTTGTATGAACTCTCACTCCAGTATTGGGACGTCAATGCTTGCTTCATATTTCAATTGGTGCTTTGAACATCCTCTAATTGATTCAGTGCTTGGTTTATAAAATCTCTGTATGAGGATTTCAGTTCTTTCCTTCATTTTTTGACGTTTCTTCTTAATATCTTGGCTTTCAGGGAAGCTTTGAACCCTATTCCAGCTTGGGCATTGATTGATCAGTTTCGAGTGAGCTTTTTTTTTTTTTTTTCCTGTTTTGAGATTGTGTGAAGTACAGCTTCTGGCCTGGAAGCAATGCTGTGGATAAAATTTTCATTCTTTAGTAGCATCCAGCATTTCATTTTTCCTAAAATTGTCTGGACTTTGTCACCCCTGTTGTATGATATTTCTTATGTACCTCATCTGTGGTGTAGAATAGTTATTGCCAAATGTAAATCTTGTAACTGAGAATGACTTGATGCCAGTATATATAAATAATTTGGGAGCTTTGGTCATTCCTGGTTCGTTTCACTGGTTACATTATATTATCAGTAGAATGATATTTTTTTCAATATTGACTTTCTCTGCGAGGATTATCAATTCCCTTTTGTCAAATATGATATCTCCATGTGCATCTTTTTGGTATTTGTATCATTCGACTTTGATCGATGCAGGAGAAGAATGCATGCTGCGTCCTATGTTGCTCTAATGGATTATACTGAAGGAGTATGATATCTTAGCATTGACACCAAAAACTAATTTACAAGATCAGGTATGGTTCTCAGCAGCCATCCCCAAACTAACATGGAAACCTACAAAGAAAAAGTTCTTCAAAAAAGCCTGAAAGGACAATATGTGTAGCATTATCACCTTTAAGGATATCCACAGCTACCATTTCCCTCTCAACGGCAACTGCAGCCACACTTGAACAACAGCAGCGCTTCACTATTTGTACTCAAATTGCAAAGCAGACGGTCATCAATTTCACTTAAGTTGAATCTATTTCATCTCTTTGAAGTAAATCTTCTGGACTTCGTCTTCTTGGTTTTCTTTGACCTTGATGTCTTGTAATATCTTCGGATTCATCACTTTTCATTTTCATGAAGTGAAATCCCATAATATACCTGTACTCCCCAGTTCCAAGACAACGGGAGCAGTAGCTAAGGCCACTCCCACCACAGTCCCTGCACCTGCAGTGGGCAACATGTGGGCAATCCTCAGATCAAGAGCATATTCCAGGACACACAATTGAAACATAGAAATTATACTGATACCTCACCATTTTGGCCATGCTCCTTTAGGAAGTATTGTAAGATGTGTGAAATTTGTCCTCCCTGCATTATGCACGATGCAAAGTCACGCAACTCATGAAACCACTTCCCATATTTGAAAAGTACTGTAGTTGTTAAAGAAACCTAAAATGAAGGTAAATTTAAACAACCAAAATACAAATACCAGGGGAGGAAAATGCAGCATTCCATTCCAAAAACGACTATATAAATGGTTAATTAGCTATAAAGAGTGGCATTGCTAAACAAAAAAGCAGGTTCTTTAGATTACCAAGGGAACTTATTTGTTTGCTGTCTAGAAAAGAAGTTCTCAGTCGTGTGCAATGCCATTCATCCACATAGTATCTATCACTCTTGAAATGCGTAGGGAGATAATATTTAGCATCCTCGAGTTGCTCCTTTCTTGCTAAAGTTGGCCATTCTCCACTGCCTCATAAACCAGTCAGGCATCTTTGGTTATCAAAGTGGCTACTAAGGGATCGATTCTGTCTAGTCAGGAACAATGCCTTACAAAAAATGCATCAAGAAAATGAAGTTGAAGGGAAAGTAGATTGTATTATACGCTCATGACATAGAATTGGGTACTACTGGTTCTAGCTTGACCTACGAAGAAACAGACAGCAGATTCAATGATAAAGCTAACTGCCAACCCTCTCCTCCCCCCCCCCCCCCCCCCCAACAAAAAAAAAAAAAAAACAAAGGAAAGCCAGACTAGATTAGAGAGATTATACATAGAAGACAACATATAGTTCATACTAGAACCAAAACAGTGGTGCTTCAGCAGATTGAACTAGGACTACCAAATGAATACTCTAGGAGGCCTAACATTCCAGATAAATTCATAATTAGTCCAGCCATCTAAGTTGAAGTGACAAAGGACATTGACCTGTATAAAAATTAAAAAGGTGCAAGGTCTGAATTACTGCTACAGACAAAAGGTTCATATACCATACAGCTAAGCCAACAAATAAGAGAAGCTCAGAATGCGAAGGAACGGTATACGAACCTATCCCATGGCAATTATGGCAACTAACTCTGCCGCTCCCTCTACACACTACGCAAGGTGGATCTGGCTTCTTTCTTTGTTCTCTCCACACATTTGACTACAACAGGAACAATATCAGAGAGGGATAAAGCTCAATATAAGATTTAAACTTTGACTAGTGACAAATGAGCACGCACTTGGTGATAAACAATAATACATAAAATTTTAATGGAGTCATTATTTCCAGCACCAAAAGTTAATATTAACATTTAATAGAAGGAAAACAGATATGCCCTCTGATTGAAGAGTTCAGTTGCTTGACTTGCTGCTCTCTTTGTTTTTAAGTCAGTGCAAAATGCATACATCTAGTGCTTCTAAAAAGATTGCTGAAAAATAATTGAGAATCTGGTAATGACTGAAGTCAGTTCTTCAGCAGCCATACAAATTTGACACCTAAAATGGAATTTAGGAAATGGACCAGACAGCAAATGTAGCTACAATTTCTCCAAATTCCTCATAGCTCCTTGTAGCAACAGTTTAACCAGGCAGCTTAGCATCTAAATACTTATGGTCTTTGGTTGTGACTCCAAGAGCCGTGCCATAACGAGTTTTATCCAATGGCATTTTTTTAATTCAAAAAATTCCATCATCTTTCTTGGAATTCATCCAACTCACTAATCCCCCTCTCATTCCTCTTCCTAGTTTCAGCCATGCAGCTTCTTTTCCACTACTTTTGCTCCTTAGTTATGAGTTATTCTCCATTTCATTGCGGAAATATTACATTCTTACAGTCTGCCACATAATCACGTGGCCTATGCCAAACCTCAAACCAAACTACTATTTGCAACAAAAAATTTGACCCAAGTGGTAAAGTCACCTTTCCTATTCCACTAATCATGGCAGGTTGGACTCCAACCGACCCCATTTCCCTGTTCTGCCTTAGCATAGTAACATGATGTACTAAAAGAAAATATATACATCTCCAAAAATCAACTTTTATTAGTGAAGGCACCTCACTATTTCTCACCATTAACCAATAAAATACTTCTTGCAACAAGCATTATTGATTATTATTCCTAGTTAAACATTTCCAGCGTGATAAAAGACAACATTCATAATCAATACCATTAATAAGAACTGCACATACAAAGATTCATCATCAAAACTATATATATGCAGAGGGCAAAAAGAAAGTGGTCTTTCTGCATCATTGATCATACCTCAGTTCTGACTATCCAAGATGGCTTTGAAACTGAAAGCAGAGGCCTAGCTGTCGAAATTGGTGAAGGGTTATGGTTAGGTGGAGGAGTTGCACCGCCGGCTGAATTTATGGCTTCCAATCTAACGGCTGCCACCAGATTCTGAGCACTCATCTGATAGGAATATACTGCCGTCAAAATTCCTCCACTGTGATTGCTGATAACGGTTATTGGGCCACAAAGCTATCGGGTTTCATTTGATCTCCTATACCTCACTTGTAGTAGTCTCTCTCTTTCTACTGTATAATCACAATGGATTGGAGTTTCTTTCAGATGATGTGAATTACATATATGTCCAAGACGTGGTTTTTGACGGTCCTCTGCCCACGTCTTTCATGACCCATGAACTGTAAAGACGTGAAATGGTATTAGAACCAAATGCCACGCCTTCTCGGTGCCCCTGTTGTTGTAATCACACTAATGACTAATCTTTGAGGTTGTGTACTAAAAGCACTCAGCCACTAGTTGTTGATTCTTGTTAGTTGTAAACTAACTAATATGATTATTAACTATTTGTAAGATTCTTGAAAATCATGGTTTGATTCTTTTGAACTAAACTATTATTATTTGTAAGGTTCAAGTGCTGTAAAGAATTTGTGTACTCACCTGTACAATTACCAAGAAGCAGGTTTTTTGCATCTAAGAACATTAGATTGTTGCTGGATAAGTTAAGTGACTTACAAATATTTGGTTAAAAACTTTAGGGTCTTCTATCATTCGCTTAAATCTTTAGTCACAACTTTGCAAGAAATTGTAGTCCCAGGATTGGATCATACATAAAAATAGGGAGTTTGTTCATGAACTGCAACTCATGTTATTGCAAAAGTAGTTTTTTTTCCGCAGAATAAATGGTGCATGAATACTTTGTGAATGACTCTATTACATTGTGGAGATCTCTCTATTATGGTTTCTGACATAAACCAAAATCTGTAGGCAAAACATATTTTAACCCGAGGATAAAATCAAGAATGCTTTGTCTAATGTAGCTTAAGGAGTTCTTGGTGCTGCAGCCACGTACTGTATCTTTCATTGTGGCTATGACTTGTTCAAACTTTCTTTTGCTTCTGAGAAGACTTCACTTACACCATGGTAATTATGATATCTTGGTGGTCAGGATGCCTCCAATTTGGTTTTCCTGCATCTTGTGATCAGAGTTAGCTTTGAATCTTGGAAAAGCTACTAAAACTCTGTGATCTTTTTGAGTACTCTCTTATCAATCTTGAGAAGAAAGAATCCTCTCTTTCCAGTAGCTTTGCTGGTGTGTCATACTCGGCTATCCGCCCTGTTCATGGAACAACAATCATGAGTTTAATGAATTGAACACCAAAGAGCACACAACTAGAAGCACATGTAAGAAAAAATTGAGATGTTCATTTGTTTTCTTACCATCACTGAGGACCAATACAAGATCACTATCTATAACTGTGTGGATTCTGTGAGCTATAGTAACGACTGTTCGATCTTTAAATTCTTGACTGATGATCTTTTGTATTGTACCATCGGTTGCAGAATCAACAGATGCAGTGGCTTCATCTAAGACAAGAACTGTGCTCTTCTTTAGCAAGGCTCTACCAAGACAGAATAATTGCCTCTGGCCGACACTCCAGTTTTCCCCATTTTCAACCACTGTATGTTAGTTGCATTAAAAGAAAGATAGTTTAGTACACATTTTATCACCACCTAAGCATTGCATTTGAGATAATAGTCCAAGGCAAGTATGTGACCTGTAGTTTCTAGCTTCTCTGGCTTCCCCCGCATCAAATCACCTAACTGACATTTGTCTAGAGCCTGGGAGGTATAAGATAAATCTACTCAGCTGATAAGAAAGTGCAATTATAAATAATCATTCGTGATGATTAGTCCATTTCATCTTTCTATCCAACATTAAAAAGATCAAATGTTTACAGGGCTAGGCTTATCAACTGAAATGTTGCCAAAAAAATTCCCTCGCAATTCTGCTGACTACTTTTAACATCTGTACTGTTGCATTATGTGCCAAGCGTACATTTATGATTCACTCAACTTGATAAATTTCTTTTTTTTTTTGTTTGAAATTCTGTATTCTAAATGAGCTTAGAGAGGTTCGGGATCAATGTAAATGCATATTAAAACAGGTATCTACTGCTTTAGCTATCGTGGAAAACTTTACCTCCCAAATTTCATAGTCAGAGTACTGGTCTAATGGATCAAGATTTCCTCTAACTGTTCCTTCGAACATTGTAGGATCTTGGGGGATGATGCTAAGCCTTGATCTCAAGTCATGAAGCCCTATTTTGGTGATGTCCACGTCATCAATTATGATACTTCCCTCACTGGGCTCTACAATCCTAAAGATGGCCTGAATGAGAGTTGATTTACCACTTCCTGTCCTTCCAACAACACCAACTTTCTTCTTCCCAGGAAATGTGCAGGTTATACTCTTTAATACAGATGGTAGATGCTCAGCATACCGGATCTGTGGACAGACCATGAATAGTTTCATTATCAAAAACAAAAGCCAAAGAGTATAGAAGACTTACTCTCATGCTCTGTCTATTCTTTATTTGCATATTTTTTCTACAGCTCATTAGTATGTAATGCAGCAGATTATGCACAACAAAAATGATAATGTTGCACTTAGAATTAAGCATATTAGTTACGGGATTAATGAACCTTTTTGTTCTGAAAACGAACTTACCTTTAAGTTTGTGAATTGAATTGTTCCGATATCTGGCCAATTTCCTGGTGGTCTGTGATCTTCAATAACTAAGGGTGCTTCACTGGCAATGTTCGAATACTGAAGAATCCTTTCCACTGATATCATTTTGTTATCAGCATTGCATATATTCCAAATAACTGAAGCTTGCTGAACATTCAAATTGATGCCATATGTTACTGCCAGCCCGGCAATGCCTGTAGAATATTCACTAGGTAAGTCTTTGCAAGAGCATGCAGTAAATGAAGGAGTTTGATATAGTTTTTCCCACAGGGGCTTATGCCTTTCATGGATTAACGTCCACCATTTGCACTATGACAGGAGTACTTTACATGTGATCAGTGATTATATACTTAGAAATGCAGTAGTTTCGATGCTTACTGGGATCTATGATTCCATCTGGTAGAGTCACAAGCAAAACGAGTGAGAAGGCAAACACAAAGTTGGATAACTGATTCAGTCTGAAAGAAAGCCACTCCATTGCTGACACATTGTGAAACCATGGTCTTGAATGGTTGTCGATGAGACAGAGGTTTGAGTCAATGAAGCGACATTTTTGGTCAAAAGCGCGTATTGTTGCTGCTCCAGCTAGTGACTCAGCGAAGTGATGGAGGATTGGAGCTCTCTGTATACCAGCTAAACGTGCCAATTCTCTTGCCGTTGGTATGTAATATCGCTGAAAATTTGATGAATAGATGTAGGATTATACTGTAAGGATTTGCTATGTGGCAACCTGAAAATTGCATTAAAATATGTCTAATCGGTCTAAAATATTTTGCATGACAGATTTGTTCCTGCTTCCTGCTAAAATCTGAATGTAGAACTGTAGTAATAAGCTTTTGAATATGATTCAGGATTTCTCCCTCTGAGGTTAAGTATTATAAAACAGCTTTTGAATTCTCCAAAGAATTGACTTGAGTGCAATAGCAAGGGTCAAAATGATTTACCTGGTACCATATGCAGATGGCTGTGACAGGAATGAAGAGGACAAACACTTCCCATGCTACCTGCGACATGACTGCTATGGTTCCAAGTAACTGGATAATTGAGAATGCACACCAGCCTATTTTGTTTGCCAACTCCAAGTCTAGGACACTTTGATCTGTTGATGCCTGTGCATGACATAAATGGTTGTTTTCATTCTTAAACACTATATTCCGGAGTATCAAGAGAAAAAAAACGTGAACTCCATGATATCAGAAATCTAATAGTGTGAAACTTAAATTTGCCTCATAAGTAGTATACTGAAACCTTTGCCTTTCCCATGCATTTGGCCCAATTTATGCGCTCCTTTGTATTTAGGATGATCAATAGGCTCCAAGAACTCATTTTCAAGTTTAGGCAGCGCCCATGATTAAGCAAGTATGCATTTAATATCTGAGCTTGAATATGCCTAGCATGTATCCATTTCTTGAGGAGCTAGTCAGTCATATAATAATCCCACCAGATAGATTTGGTCAATTAAAGATGGAGTATTGCCCATTTCATGCGGAGCTTGTCAGTCGCATAGTTATTCTCAATTGGTTGAAAAAGCTAGCACTATTTGATGAAGCAATAGATGAATTTTGTCCAGTACAAACAACAAAGACGGTTAGACCATTAGAGGAATATTATATGGTCAATTCCTTCAGATATCCTGCTTACTGTCTCTCTTCTTGATATCAAGTTCCTGTAAATCTTGCAAAATGTAGTATGTCATTGAAGGTTGGTTAATTTGCTGCCTATCATACAATTTGCTTATTTTCTTTGCTACAAACTGATTGGATTTGATAAAACTTTCAAATGATATAAGTTCTCTATGCCGAGTTTCATCTAGCATAGACTAAATGTCTTGATGCTTATGACATATCAGACAATAACAGAAAACCATAATTTGCAAATTCAGATCAATTAGCAGCTATACAGACACTTAAGAATTGGTTTTTTCTGTTAACCTATCTCTTGATCTGCTTTCTACTTTTTAACTACAGAAATTCTTAACTAGCCTATGCTGAAGCTCTTAATGCCTACATGATAAGATTAACTCCAAGACAGACAGCCAAAGTAAAGAACACTAAAAAAATTCAATGTTGCACGAAAGTTTTCAGCTTCCAATGACAACAATAGTTAAATATTTTATCCTGTTTAATCATGCTTACGTACCCTGTTTAAAATTCTTCCAGTTGGAGTTGAGTCAAAGAAAGCCATAGGAGCACGAATAATGCTGTGCAGCATGTTGCTGAATAGCTTCTCTGAGGTCAAAAGGCCTGTTATAGCCAATAATGTGGCTCGGATCAGCACACAAAGTGAACTTCCAATGGCAAGAAGTACATAAACAAATAGTATGAAGTGCATCCCAACAACTGGTTCATGATTCCCAGTAGGACAGGCCCATGCCATCCAATAATTGCTGGCTATCTGCAATGCTTGGAATGATGATTGAGCAAGTAAAATTATTGGAACAAAGGCACCACGTTTCACGATGGTCAAGTAAGACCAGTAAACTTCCTTCCCAATACTTCCCTTTTCTCTTTCTTCATCCTGTACCAACCGTCCTTCTTTTTCTGCTATTTCAACACATAGATTGTGCTCGGAATCTTGTTTCGTGTGTGGAAATTCTGCATTTGGATTAGGTTCTGAATTAGATTCACCACCATCAGTTTCATGATTGAAAGTTCTACTAGAGCTTTCAACTTTCAGAATTGATTCTAGAGCTTCATTGTGGGCCCCAACGATGACTTCAAACCCAACATTGTGTTTTAGAAGTTCTTCAAATGAACCAGCTTGTGCAATTCTTCCATTTTGCATCACCTGTTACAATTTACCAGATACAACCTGAAACCTTTATGATAGAATAATGTAATATGCTGAAGTCAACTGTACATAACTTTGGGTGGAAAATCATCCTTAAGATTCCCTGATCATTTGTATGGTTTCAGTACTCAATGTAAGATTGAAGAGACAAACTTCATAAAATGGTTCCATCTTCAAGAGCCTCTTGTGTTTCCCATCAAATAC